ACACACACACACACACACACACACACACACACTACAACAGAGGAAGGTGGTGTGGGGAGGGGCCGGCACAGGGACTGGGAGGCAGGATGGGAAAGCGATCTCATTTCCTCCCGCGGAGAGCCAGGCCTCTACGGACATCCTGCAAGCTGGGGAACCCTGAGGCTTTCAGGGCTTTTATCGTATTAGAAGCATTTTTCTCATCATAACTGAGACCTTTAGTATTGCATTAAAAAGATGGTTAATTTTCTTAAGCTTCCTTTTAAACACAGAAATAGGATTAGAAGGATAACATGCTCAGATGCAAGCCCATTATTTGATTATGTCTAAACCTAATCCTGCCTTCACCTTGGCCTGCAGAGTCTCCATTTTGGGGTTTATTGGTTGATAATGCCAGGGCTGTCAGATACTATTACTTGTGTAGTATCTGTTGCTACGTGCTCTTTCTTCCACTATCAAATGCTGAAGGTTGGAAATTGAATTATAGGATAAGTTCTCAAAGCCTCGCCATCTTTTAGAACTTTGTACCTATTTTCAAAGGAGAAAGAGTGATTCAGGCCCCCAAAGAATGGGGACTCTCACCAGTAAATTCATAAATTCATTTCTAATGACGCTTCGGAAGAAAGCCTTATGAGTAACCTTCTTTCCATTGAGCAGGCTTTCTACTCTTTCATGTTATTAAGAATCAGGAAAAATGGTATTGATGTTAATAAAAAGATCAGAAGAAACAGCTACAGGTGACCATTCTCTATCCTATTACTTTTCATATTATAGTAAAATCATCTGTCACATCATCTCCTTGAGGGGAGGAACTGTGTCTTATTGCCACTCAGTGGCTCACATGGTTCCTGGCCCCAAAGCTGGTGTTCAGTAAATACTTGTGTGACTGAACCAAGAATTTATGTCATCTCTGGATTATATGCAAGAAGGCACCCTTATCTCATTGGGTTTTCTCAGTGGAGAAGGAAAAGGTATTCGCAGGCCTAAGTGTCCGAGGCAAAGGCTTGGGATAACCCCAGAAGCACAAGGACGGCCCACCCTCCCAACCCGGACCCGCCTCGCCTTCTCCCTCCCCATCCCAGCAGCTTCTGTGTTCCTTTACCTGTCGCAGTGGTTGCATTTAAAGGGCTTTGCACCTGTGTGTTTCCTGTAGTGCCTCGTGAGCTCATCGCTTCGTGCAAAACGCCATTCACACCCTTCCCATGAGCACTTATAAGGCTTCTCACCTGCAAGAAGAGATGAACAACCATGGTCAACAACAGGAACAAAATGGCCACATGCCTGATCAGGTTCTGCTACCTGTCCATCGTCTTGGAAAAGGGCTGTATAAATTATTCTTGAGAGACTGCATTTCCTAATACAGTTGGTCACATTTTCTTTAGGCTCCTGGTATTTTGTTGTTGTTGTTGTTGTTGTTGTTGTTGTTGTTGTTGTTTTAACCTTCAAAAGTGGTTTCACAGGATCCTCTAATCTGGAGCTGTCATTTCGGTTCCCAGAGTCAGAGCATTTCCTTCAACTGGTGAAGGATCAATTTTTATTTATTTTCTATTCCCTGGAGCACTTTGACCCCTCACTGTCCAAGCAGAAAGAAAATGTGCTATTTTCATCTGAACCACAAATGCTTCTAATTCTATTTTTCTCCAGAACCTACAGTAATTTACCATTTCAACCTTTTTAGCCTTCTCCCTCCTACCACAAACTGGAGCCAGGGTGCTGACTGACAAGGCAAATAGCTCAGGTCTCCCAGAACCACTGTTCCTTCCAGTAAATGGGAATGGATGGACAGTCAGGAGAAAGGGCTATGACTTGAGAGTAAAACAAAAATCACCTGACGATTCCTGGCGTTTATGTAAAATGCAGTCACAAAGTCCTATTTAAGAAGCCCCTAACTTAATGGCTCCAGAGCATTCATATTAGAGAGAGATGAAGAGTATTACAAAATATTTCTAAAGCCAATTTGTAGAGCAAGGTTTTAGCCACAGTGAAGCTGCTTAGAAGTACAAAATTAGAGCTCTTGCGCTCAAGTGACCTTTTTGCATGGTAAATACAGACGGAGCGATATGTAAGAGAAAGTACATGATTTTTCTGTAGACCTTTTTCCTTAACCCATCAACAGCTGTCACCCAACATGGCAAATATTTACCCTTCCCACTGTATGGTGCCTGGTTCCGATTAAGAAGAAAAATAATTTTCAAAACCCCATGAAGTCATGAGAGTTACTGAGCCCTGGTAACTTGAGAGGCAGGTTAGCGCAGTGGTCATGAGCCCCGAAGACGACCTTCCCAGGCCCAGCTTTCAGTGCTGCCCCTAACTGTCTAACCCCGGGCAAGTTAACAAACCTATCTGTGTCTCTTTTTTTCTAGAGATAATAATAGTACATAGCTCAAAGTGTTCAGAGAGCATAACTTAATATACGCAGGTATTATATATTCATTAGAACACTGTCTGGTTCACTTAAGATTCACATCACTGGTAAATGTTATAAATTGCCAAACCCCAAATTTCAGGATACACAGGTGCCAAAGTAGTACTATGGTTGCCCCATTATTGCTCTATTTTTAATAGCCAGACCTTCACGAGGCAGCGTTTAAGGAGACATTGCCCAGGTACTATACTTGACCCACTTTCTTCTTCCCACCTTTTTCCTTCCCTTTAAACCTGACTACAAAGTGCTCACAATTCTTTATTTGTATCACCTAGAATTGAACCAAACATGATTGAAAATTTCATTTCATTAAATCGATGCCCTAGTGAGCTACTGCTCTGTAAGGCCCCTAGAGAAGAGGAAATGAGAAACACAGGCATTTCTTTTAAAGGGAACCAAGAGGACATGAAGGAGGGCTAGAAGCACAGGAGGAAACCCATTCAGTTTTGGAGACCAGGGGAAAAAAAAAAAAAAGAATCACTGAGCAGTGTTAAAAGTTCACCTTCTGGGTCCTTAAAGCCAAAATTTTAGAAAATTGCCCCTGCTGAAAAGAAAATAGCAGAAGGGGGGTGTCAAATCAACTCTGGAATTAACACACTTGGGATCGGCATTCATTACAGAGTGCATTACAGAATATGCCTCAGTGTCCTTCTCTGTCAAATGGGGCTGAGCTTCCCGTGTTTGTTGTGAGGTTTAAATATGTTGTCATATATAGGACACACAACCTGAGCCAGACACAAGGTAAATATTCTATCAATTTCAACTTCTCTTCCTCCCATGTACACCTGTGCTCTCAGAAGCTGCCTGAAGGTTGTCACCCAAAACTTTCGAAGCTCAGGCTCCGGACAGCTGAGTCTGGAATCACTCTGGGCAATCTAAATATTGGAAAAAATAGTGTTTTTAAGTTTTAAATATTTTCTCAGTATACTGATGAGAATGCTCCAGAAAACCTGAGTGCTCTTGCGGTCTACTATGAAGGAATGGGATGCTGAGGGGAAAGAAGAGACCCCAGCTGGAGAGAGTGGGCCCTCCCTGAGAGGCGTGTTGGCGTCCTTTACTTAATGTGAGTGATTGCCCACCAGCCTCCATTATTCAGGGAAATCTGACACAAACAAACAAATAAAAAAGGAGAATGAGGCACGTCAGTGACTTTAGAAATTCACAATGCCCTCCACCCACCCAAGGCCTTCAAAGGCAAGTAACACTGCAGGTTCCTGGAGCCTGGGGGACCCAACACACCCCAAATACAACAAGGCATCTGGAAATCCCACGACATTCTATGGCCACAAGCAGAGACATCTACTCCCCAAAATCAAACCCATGATTGAACTAACCCCTCATAGGCAACCACATTTTGAAGGACAGAGGAAGGACAGAGAGAAAATGGAGGTTCAAGTGGATGTCTTCAGATATTTTTGGAAAAATTGTTCTTTCAAACGGTTTGGTTTTTCCCCTTGGTGAATTTTTTAAATAGTTCTGTTTTGACGATTAATATTAAGGATTTAGATACTTCCCAGAAAATAATATAGACTCAATTAGTTCTGGCACAAGCCAATTATCCTATCCAGTGGCCATTTCAGTATCCCTTTTGCCAGTGTATAGACAGAAACTACAGAGAGTTTGACTTGGCTTTGAGTTGTATCACCTAACATTGTCTCCTGCTAGCAGAAGAAGCTCTTTTGTGTCCTTATGGTTTAGTCAAGATATATTATGGTGCCTCATCAATCTATTTTTCCAGTGTCTGATTCATTTACCTTTAAGTTGCCATTTCGGCAAATGCTCACTAATATGAACTTTAAAATAACCAAGAAAGAACTCGACCAGGTGAAGGAGCAGTGCCTGATACAGGCCGAGTACAGAAATCAGAGGAGCAAAAAATATATATAAAGAATTGGGAATATGACTTCCTATTCAGGGCTCAGAAATGATGGGATTAGGGTGGCCTTATTTCTAGGTCCCATATCCACTTCTGTAAACCAGTGCCTACTTGAAAGGCATCAGTGAAAATCCTCTGTCAGTACTTTACAAGGCCAAGATCACACCTCCCTAGACAACAGCACCCACTGCTTGATGTCGGGGGCAGAGCCACCTATATCCACGATGCATTAGTTTCCATCTGAACAGCTTACATAAAGATTTCTGTGTATTTCATAAAAATCTTGGGTTTCTTTCTTTATAGAAGAATGGCTTTCTTTCTAAAAGAAAGGAAGAAAGGAAGAGAAAGGGGACAGACGGAGGGAGGAAAGGAAGAAGAAAGGAAGGAGGGAGGAAAAAAGAGAAAGGGGCAGTCAGTTGTAACTGGAGCGGACTTTACGCAACATCAGCTTATCTCCTTCATCCTGCCCTCTCTTGCACCCTCCTTATCTCCTTGCTCCACTCCAGGCACTATTCCTGGGTAGAACACAGAAAATGGCATACCCTTGCACAACGCTATACTGTATGGCACCTGGGACAATGCCTGTCTTTCAGCTCACAGCAACTCAATAATGATCAAAAATGTTCAGGAGAGGTCTGTAGGAGACAGGCAGATGGGAGAGAAACTTAAAACATTAGGACTCAAGGCTGGAAGGCGTGTGTGGATGAAGGCAGGCACAGCACAAATCAGATGGGCGAGGGGGCATAGTAGTGCCTGCACAGTTCACAGGGCCAGAAGTGGAGACACTGTCAGAAGCCCCCTGAATTGCAAGTGGAATATCAAGATCTACTTTTCCTATCTAGAAATTAACCCCGGGAGACGTATTTCCCTCAGAGGTGGTATAGTAGGTCTAATCAGGTGTAAATACATTTATAGCCATAGGAGGGCTCTTAAGGAGAGCTAAGGATGCTTAAGAAACAGGACTTGACATTTAGCAAGGTTGAATCATGGCAAGAATTCATGCTCTCCCACAGAATGGCCTCCGAAATGGAATGTGGGCTAAACCAGTATGGCATTTTTTTTTTAGTTTCTTACAGAGTAACTCTCTCTACAACATGATCATCACATTTGATTGGTCAAAACGCACATAAATACCTTTGAACATGTACCTCCAATACAAGTAGATTTATTCATGAATTGTATAAATGTATGTTATACATTTATATATATATAAATATATATATAGTATATATATTATATATACTAATGTCTTAGTATGTTAGGATATTATAAAATATGCTTTCAATACAGAAATTAAAAAGAATGGGACTAAATTAAATACAAATAGAAGGTTTACATTTTTCTTCCTGCACTCAAAAAGACTGCATTGTACGCCCTACTTTAGAGACCGCCGCTCCATAGGATAAATGGAAACAGCTTGGCTCCAAGCCTGCTGGTCTCAGTGCTTCCAGACTTGGATGCCACAGTCCATTCTCCCCACAGAAGTCCGAGGAATCCTTTGAAAATATAATCAGCACGGGGGGGGGGTCCTTCTAGGGGATTTTAGTGTCTATATTTCCATATAATTGGTTTCTCTGACATCCCCCTGGATTATATTTTGTGCATTTGAAAACACTCTATGAAGCGTTCTACAGACCTCACCAGACTGCCAAAGAAGTTGATGACCCAAACGAGATTAAGAAGAAATTACAGTGTGAATGTTGCAGTGGCTTCCTGTCATTCTCAGAATTCAAGTCAAAAGCCTGGGCAGCCCTGTGGTATAGAGTCTATATGATCTGGCCCCTTTCTAATCCCATCTCCTACCCCCATCTCAGGGCCTTTGCACTTACTAACCCCTCTGCCTGGCATACTTGCTCCCTCACCTCAGTTAGGTCCCTGCTCTAGAGCTTCTCCTCCTCAGGGAGCCCTACCCTCAACCATCTTCT